CCGAAAAGGTGTATCTTTATCTCTTTCTTGTTCCCCCCTTTTCCTTGCTTTTTCAGAACCCTTGCCTGCTTCAGCCGGCTGAGGTCGGCTAGTGTCTGCTCCTGTTGAGCAACATCTTCTGGCCCGGGAACGCCAACGGCAGCGATGTTGGCTTTGCTAATGCTCGACTCCTGTTTTACCAAAGGAAGATACCCTCTCACCTGCACAAATATGAGCTCACCACCAATGGCCACGACAAAAAAATACAAGGAACGGATGTGCACGCAAGTCGTTAGTGCTGTCCTCCTTGTGTTCTTTCCTCCTTCTTGTGTCTCCATTCCTTACTTCCCTTCCTCCCTCCCTCCCTCACTCCCTCCATTCTTCTCTTCGTGCATGCCCCCCTCCTTCTCCCGTTTCCCCCCTCCCTCTATCCTCATCTACCTTCCTCCCTTTTTCATCCCCTTGCCCCCTCTCTGCCTCCTGCTCCCTCTCTCCCTCCTGCTCCCTTCCATCCCCTCCCCTTCCTTTATCATCTTACGACTTCGTCCTCCGCTCTTCTTCTTTCTTCCTACCACTTCATCCTCCTGCCCCTCCCACACCTCCTCCCATCCTCCCTCCTGGTCCCACTCCTTTATCTCCTCCTTACAATTGGTATCGTTAGCTCTGTGCTCCATTACTTCTAGTACATTCTTTGCAAGTACACTACTTTAAGGCCTCATCTAGTTATCTGAAATTCGGATCCATCAAGCCTCTGATAAAAAAGGGAAAGCATGAGAAAATACGAGTGCACACACACACACACACACACACACACACACACCAAAAAAAAATCAGTTTTATGTATGTTTACTATGTTTGTCTTTTCACTCTTTTTCTGTTTTTGCATGTCTTTCTTCCTATTTTTCCTAAGTAATTTTTGTGTGTCGACGCGAGCACCTCTAAGCAGTGCCAAACAGTCGGTGAGCCCTTGCTTGGAGTGCCTGTAGCACTCTCAGGGGGGGCGATCAGTTCGGGATGTCTGTCTGTCCTACAGGTTATGAGTCTGATGGATGACTGATATAAGTAAGAGTGACCCCCCAGCTCAGCGGGTGGTGGGGGAACCAACAGCCTACGGGGTTCTTCTTCAAGTTCTTGTGGTGTGAGTAGGTAATGGATGGCTTTGGTCCATGTTGAGGGTATAGGACTGACTTGTCTGCGCTCTCCGCTGTCTTCCTGCCTGCCTGCCTGCTTTCCGTGCAAGTCATTCCCTGGTGCTTGTCTGGGTGCCTTGTTAGTGTTGCCTTGTCCTTACCGCACGGTTGCGTGCTGCCCATCCATGTGCCCTGTCTTCCCCTGCATTTTGCTCGTGCACCATGCAGTTTGGCCGCTTTGCAGCACTGCTTTATGCATTTATTATTGTGTAATTGCCTTGCTGCCCTTCCTCTTGCGCTTTCTTTCCATGAAGTTACCTTGCCATTGTGCCGTTGGGTGGCCCCGGTAGCGTTGCCTGGTGCTTTGCTGAGTCATTTCCTGCTGCTATGTTCCACAACTACCGCTTGTGGGGGGGTTGCTCGATGACAGTCTAACACGGGTCGAAGGGTTCATGGCCTAAAGCATCGTGTTTTTTTTTTTTTTTTTTTTTTTTTTTTTTTTTTTTTTTTTTTTTCGACAAATTGCTCCAATCTATTCGTGGGGAGTAGCACCATGGCCTAAGGCATCAACATGGGGATTCCGCAGATTGTCAAGGGTTCAGCTGAGAGATGGGTAATGGAAGACCCAGAACTAGGGTTTTTCACCGCATCACTACACGCAATGACACCACTTGTTAACCACAAGTGGTTCAGCCTCCTGATAAGTCGGTGCAACTCTAACGAAACAATCAATCATCTTCAGTATTATTTTTTTGAAAATTTTCAGCCTTTGTCACCTTTGCCTTGCTGTTGTTTGGCTTGCGGTCGTTGCCCTCGCTGCCTTGTGCTGTTTGCCTGCCTACGCGCCTACCCCATGCCTTCCCCCCAATGTGCTTTGCTGCCTCGTGCTGTTTGCCTGCCCCACACGCCTCCCCCATGCCCTACAGCCTATGTGCTTTGCTGCCTTGGGCTGTTTGCCTTGCTGTGTGCCGCTTGTCTGCCCATGCGCCTCCCCCGTGCCTTCCAGCCTTTGTGCTTTGCTACCGCTTGTGCCTCATCCGTTCAAACTTCAACGTTATGCCTCCCTGCTTTTTGCCTTGCTGCTTACTGCGTCCGCGGCTGTTTCTTTTGTTGCTTTTGCTTTTGGTCGTATTACTTGGTTTAGGGTTATCGAATGACTTGACTCGCTCAGATGCATCTGTTCCTACCCTGGTTTTGTACCATGGTTTTGTACCATGGTTCCGTACGGTGCATAAGAAGATTGGACTCGAGAAGAGACGAGACTCGGCTTGGTGTTCTGAGAAGACAGCTGCTTCAGAGAGCAAGCAGAAGCCATACTGGACCAATGGGAAGCAGAGCGACTGCAAAAGGGACTCGCATGCCTCTTACGATGCTAGGGAAGCAATGCAGATCTGGCAGTCTACACACATCCGTCGCCTGCTCTTCGCATCTCTTCTTGGGATAATGCAAGCCTGACTGTCAATCTGCTGTGTAGACCGAGTCGAATTCGAGAAGTAAAATGCACGCCTGACAGTCAGTCCGCTCAAGGACTCCTTTCAAGGAGTAATCAATGCTGTTCACGAGTACCTTCTGCCATAACGAGGGAAGCATGATGGGTGAATGACATGACATTGTATCACTTTCATTTCCCGGTTGAAAGGAATGGGACTGGCGCTCCCCAGAATAGAAAGGAGGCAGGACCATAAAGCCTGAAAGAAGAAAGAAGAAGAAGGAAAAGAAGAAGAGGCTAAGATCAAGTGTAGTATCTGTTCTGATCAGTTTAATATCTGATCCGTGGTCCATCGGACCACACGACATTTAAAAAAAAAAAAAAGAAGAAGAAGAAGAAAGAAATCAAGGGTCAGGTGAGCAGAACAGCAACAGAAATCTGCTTAAAGGAGGGCAAAGTTCATAAGAAAATTAGTAAATTATATCATTAATCATTCCCAAAAAAAAACATCATCCCCGAACTTCACCAAGGCACCTTAACTCAGCATGCAATCCCTCTAATATCGGTTTCGACTTGTGCATGTCAAGTCTCTTCAGGAGGGTAAGAAATACTAAGAAAAATGAACGTGAAGGGAACATCTCCCCATCTCATCCTTTATATAGCCCAGAACTGCGACCTCATTCATCAACCCAATCTTCCCCTTCTCCGTTTCTCTCGTTCTCGCGCCTCACCCCTCTGTCTCGTCTCTGACATGTCTGGCCGATTATACTACACTGAGAATCCCAACCATTATCAGCCATAGCGCACGTCGCTGGAGAAGAGCCAGCGCGGGTACTTGGATGCTCGCTACTTGCGCAGCACGCAATTCGCATCACATTACAGCCCAGAAAGGAGAGGCTCGTGCCTCCGACTACCACTAGTATGTACTTGATGCAGTACCAAAACCGGGGCGCCCAAAAACTCGTTCCGTGGGCCATCCTATTGCAGGCGGCTCGGCTCACGACCGGAGCGGGAAAACACAGAGAGGAGCAAGACATTTTCCGAAAAATCTCAAAAACATTTTTCCTTTTTTTGGGCCCATGTGCCCAAATGCTCCCATCAGGAAAAAAGGTACAAAAACGGTTACTGCAGAGACTAGAAAACCCCTCGGGTGGCCCAAACCAAAAAACTCTGCGTCCAGGTACCTGTTCAGTATTTTATACAGATGCCAGCGCCCCCAGGTCACCTGATCAAACCCCCCACACGTCAAAAACCATGAGAATCACAACCTCTGCCGCATACTTAATTTTTTCGTTTCCTATGCATTAATTAAGGAAAAATAGCATCCATCAGCATAGTCCGAGAGAAAACCCAGAAAAGGACTACCTTATCTGTCATCCAACGATCAAGGCCGCAGCCGTCTATCAGGCAAGTCTCAGCCAATCAAAGATCTCCAGGGACCGCCCACCACTTTGGCAAAACGAGCCAAAGATCTGAAGAAGATGGAGGAGGAGGAGGGGGAGGAAAAGGAGAAAGGAGGAGGGGGAGAAGGAGAAGGAGGAGGAGGAGGTGGAGGTGGAGGAGGACGAGGAGTTGAGGGGGTTGTTCAATGTGGGTTTTCACCTCCTCATGAGAGATTGGACGCCCATTCTCAACCAGCACATGCATGGGTCTCAGATTGAGAACACGAAGAATATAAAGCTGGAAACACCACCACCACAACAACCTCTCTCTCTCTCTCTCTCTCTCTCTCTCTCACACACACACACACACACACACACACACACACACACACACACACACACACACAGAACATCCATGGGTATTCGCTCTCTGAATGAGAGTAACACGAATATTGGACTGTGAAACATCAACACCAAAATCACCTCCCTCTCTCTCTCTCTCACACATGCACTCTCCCTCTCTCTCCCTCTCTCTCTCTGTCTCACACACACACACACACACACACACACACACACACACACACACACATGAGACCCACTGCATAAAATCACCCTGACAGTTACAAGTTGCCATTTTGCCCTCACAGGATAAACGAAACATTGACCTTTTTTTTTGCAGTTCTTTTCAGGTTTTTGAACTTTTTTCAACTTTTGTGATCGTTTTTCTGAGATTTTCGGTGAGTTTTTTCCCTCAAGTTAGTGTGGACCAAATGTAAGGGGCCCCTTTCTTTTCTGAGAAGTTCCCCCCCTCAATTTGCATTTACTTCAACGTCAGCAAAGTTTGTCCTTATGGCCCTTATGGGGTGCAAGATTTGGATTTTGAAGGTTTCACCGGTCTGACCTGTCCATCCTGACAACAGCAGATGAGCTCTTCAGAGCCTGACATGCGGTAATCTGAAACCAACAGTGCAGTTATGGGAGAAGGAAGATGATCTCGGAAAACCACGTCTCCGGTCCGCGCACTTCGAGCCTCCAGCTGTCAACAACCAGTGCTGCCACATCAGATGAGGATCCATGCCGTCGCAAAGATATTGTGATGAAGGGTCTCATTTCTTGGATAAAGGATTTGCTATCATCCTCGAACATTCAACTGCCATTTCGTCAAAATGGACTTTTTTTTTTTTTTTTTGAACGAAATTGAAACCGACTTTTTTGGCCGAAAAAAGGTCCAAATTTGCTGCTCCTGAGGGTCTGGCGGTCTTCCAGCAGGTGCAGCTCCCCACCAATAGACTGGAGCCCCTGGTGTGTCAGGTAGGAGTGTATGCTCTTATAAAAAAAAACACAGAAAAAAAACCGCCCCCTTCCCCCCCGGATATATCTGTTCTCAACGTTAAGTCCACAGACATCCAGGGGGTCCAGCGTTTTAAGAACACTGCTGGACCCTCAGGAGCCAAAATTTTGGACCTGTTTTCGGCCAAAAAACTCGATTTCAATTTCGTTTAAAAAAAAAGAAGAAAAAAAAAGGTCCATTTTGACGAAATGGCAGTTGAATGTTAGACGATGAAAAAGAAGCATAAGATTGATTCTCAAATTGCAACAACAAATACTAGCAGCGCGGCATCGTGTAACTTGTCCAAAAGAGAAAGTTTATAAAAGGCGAGAAAAGGGAGAGAAAGAGGGGAATTCGACAAACGGCTCCCTTTTTTTTGTAAAATAAATAAATAAATAAAACGACGAACTGTTTCTTGAATAGAGTTGCACAAAAGGATCATCCTTCTCCTTCTTGCTTCCTCCTCATTCAGTTTTTTTTTTTTTTTTTTTTTTTTTTTTTAGCATGTTTTTTTTCCCCCTATGAAACTCTGATCATGATGTGACATGAACATACTTCCCTCTTTTTTTTTTTTCGTCCCTGCTATTCATCAGGACTTGAATTTCGAACTTGTGATCTATTAAACTTTATTTATTAAACTTTATTTATTTAACTTTATTTATTTAACTTTATTTATTTAACTTTATTTATTTAACTTTATTGACAGTCACGTGTGTGTACCATTCAGCCAGAAGGGGGGTACAACTGCCTTTTTTTTTTTTTTTTCCCCTTTTGGGGGGGCACCGTTTTCGACATTTCGTCCATTTCCCAATTCATGTGTGTCATTCTTGTGCAAGGGCAATGATAATCTTCTCTGTACCGCTCCAATTTTAAGTTTTAACCTTAAAGTTGATGGAAATAAAGAAGAAGAAGAAGAAAAATCCTCAGAGGATAAGTGATGATAACCGTGGCGAAAAATAATTATTGGAGTCCGATTCTGCTCCTACCATCCTCGCCATAGCCAGGGAGGTCATCCTCCATGGCCACGGAGGCCATCCTCCATCCATCAGCCAGGAAGGTTATCCTCCATGATCCTCCATGGACAGGGGGGTCATCCTCCATCCTCCATAGCCAGGTGAGTCATCCTCCAGCCCCCCTATCCAGGACATTTCCAGCTCCTCCTCAGGCCTCCATTCTCCATAGCCAGGGGGGTCATCCTCCATCATCCTCCATGTCCAGTCCTCAGTCCCTGGTGACGTCCTGCATTATAAAAAGACAGCATCATGAGGCCAACAAGCTACCTAGCCTCCAAGTGGCATCATGCTTTTGATCGCTGACTGATCCGGTAGTTACCCAGCCTCAAGGACTTGCTACTGGCCTTCTTACCCCTGTTTGCTGCTGCATTTTGGGGCAAGAATCAGAGATCTGCTGATCCGGTAGCCACAGAATAGACATTACTTAGCTGAGAAATTCATATGTCTATTCATGTGTGTCAGTGTGCTAATCCCCTCTGCACATGGATTTTTATCCGAAGATACCTAAACTCTCTTCTGTCCAGATTTTTGTTTTTCCTTCTTTTTTCTTTTTTCTTTTTTTTCCCTCCTCTTTTTTTTTTTAAGGAGGATAGCCCTGAGATATCATCGTCGAACTGATCCGTCCTTTTTTTTTGGGGGGAAGTACGTTTATGTCACATGGGAGTTTGTAATGGGCACAAAAAACAGCCTTCTCCCTCTTCGGTCGCGCCGCGC